AGGATGCTATATGCCAAGCACAAAAATTATGATACTCAATTTTACTTCAGACACTATGATACTCAAATTTTTGTTTAGACAGAAGCAGTGGAGGCCTTTGATCATCAGTCTTATGAATACATTTTCTTTTAAATTTTCCAACAAATTACACTCTTCGATTTCATACATTGCCAATCTTATTCCCTGTACAAGCAAAAAAGTTAAAAAAAAAAAAGAAAGTAACACGAGTTTTGCAACTTGAAAACTCATACTTCCCATCATAAAATAACATCTCATAGAAACGTAATACGACATAACTAATCTAATCATGAAGCTCTAATCTGCATCAGCATGTTCATCTCATTAGCCTATCGCCTGAACAATGCTTTTAACATTAAGGCTCACCAGGGTGCACGCCTCAAACGCCCAAACTTTCAAATCATATTGAGGATTTTGATAATTAATATGATTCGTTTGTTAGACCAAGGAGAATGGAGGAGAGGGGGGGGGGGACTCATCAGTAAGACAATGGAACTCTGCAGTACCTTGTTGTGTTTCACTCGTATGCTTACTATATTACTTTTCATTGTCCAATTAAATAATCATTTCATGTTCTTTGAAATCACAATTCCCTGCTAACACGTATTGAATTTCTGAATTTTGGAACAGTTTCAAGTTTTTTTCAAGTTTTATTATCATTTTATTAATTAAATGTTGTATATTAGTTGATATTTTATTATTTTTAACAAATATTTCATATTTCTAGCATCTTATTAGTTTTTAAATAATTAAATTTCAAAATTCTTGGGCCAACACCTTGTACCTTGGGGTTTTCGTCCTGCTTAAAACAAACAAAAATGACTTGTCCAAAGCTTTTGTCTTTTAAAACATCGATCATAATAGCTCTTTCCAGTTGAGTTTTATGATGCAACACCTAAAGTCATAAGAAGCTACTTGATTGGGGGAGGGAGGGTTAGGTTAGGTGGTATGAAAGAAGAAGTATAAGTGAAAAATCTCGGATTCGATATCTTCCATTTATACTTTAAAAAAAAAGTTACTTGATACGAAAAATACCAAATTACATTCAAAATATGGGTGGTATATGTGTCATCACGTAAAATAAATTAAATTAATGTAACTTCCTTTTTGACAAAGTCACTATTTTCTTAATGCATTACTAGTAGTAATTAACTAGTGGCGCACTCTTGTTAGACTAATTAATCAGCTTTATTCACAAATATCTGATGATGTCTTCTTGTGAAGATAAAAAATGCAATGTGGCAGAGTAATATATAGATTCCACAATAATCTGTAAAATCCATGGTGGTCTAAGGAGGAAATAACATTGTGAACCATTAGAATTAAGGACCGGATTTTGTCTTATCTGTTTGATTTTTGAAATCCTCTATAATTCTTTTCGAGAATTTTATGCTTGAGAAAAAAAGGAAATTAAGAGGAAAGATACATTGGAAAGAAACAAACACCCTTAAAGTAGAGAAAGAGAGGGAGGAAGAAGGCAAGAATGAAATTGAAACACAAAGATGTTGCTATCCTATCTATCTAGCACACATATTTCATTATATAGGAGGGGAAAAAATGAAAATTGTAGTTGTCTTCTATCAAATTTTATATAATCAATGTTGGGATCCAAACGTAAAATATATCACTATCGAGACATCAAGCATACAACAATTTGATGACAGACAAATCATAAGTATAAAAGAGAATTTTAGTATTCCCATATTAATTAAACTGTAGTACATCAAATATGATAGAGCATGCTTTTGTATTAAGCGATAAAAGAAGAAGCCGTCAAAGTACTTGATTATGTCATGGACACCTATCCTTGACAATGTTAGACATTGTAATTGCTTGATGAAAGATATGGCAAAGTAGACCTTAAAATACACGAGATACAAACTACAAATACGATGTTTTAGTTTTTAGAAACTGCTTAATTGTTTGCTCAATCGATAGGTCGGAACAGCAACCAGATGCTTGGCCCTGGTCACTACAAGGCCAAATTCCTCGGTCATGTCCAGCTCTGAAGGCAGCATCCCATTTGGAAGCTTCCAATTGAAACAATGCACCAATTGTGCCACCAGAAGACGAACAACAGTGAGCCCCAATTGCGTTCCAGGACAGCCTCTTCTGCCTGAGCCAAAGGGAAGAAGTTGGAAATCATGTCCTTTTACATCTATATTGTTCCCAACAAATCTTTCTGGTATAAACTTTTCAGGATCAGACCATGCATTTGGATCTCTCCCAATCGTCCAAACATTGATAATCACTCGTGAATCTTTTGGTATATGGAAACCATCAACTGTGCAATCCTCTCTAGCTGCATGAGGAATAAGTAATGGTGCAACAGGATGGAGCCTTAGTGCTTCCTTTACAACCATGTCCAAGTATTGCAGGTTGTCCAAGTCTGATTCCTCGACCATCCTGTCCAAGCCCACTTTTTCATTCAACTCTTGCTGGAGTTTCTTCATTACTCGAGGGTTTTTCAGGAGCTCTGCAAGTGTCCATTCAACAGTTGTAGCTGAAGTGTCCATTGATCCAGCAAGCATATCCTGCAATGAAGATGTTATTTGTATCCTAGTCGTTCAGGAGACTAAATGATGTCAAGGAAAATCACAGGCAAAAAGCATGCTACACGTGTAGACTAACAATTGAACACCATCAATTAACCTGACACTATGATCTATGACTATAGACAAACTTATTCAGAATTCAATCAGGGCTGAGTACATGGACGCTAGTTTTCCAAATGGAAAATGCTACTTTCACTTGGGGTGAAAGTTCAAAAGATGCACATGCACTGGGAAATTATAAAATCGAGGCTAAGTAAGGAGCATGTAATGATCATCAGAAGCATACTAAAGTCTTGTTTTGGCTAAATAACTGTAAAACTTCGTTCTCTAAGAAAGTGGACATTAGATTTGAGCAGAATTGAGAAAGAAATAAGGCATTCAATTTATCAAAAGAGACTAGTAAACCTAGTTGATTCTTGGAAACCAAGTTCACGCCTTACCAACAAAATGGCTTTGATGTGAGGGCGATCAAATTGGAATTCAGTTTCTCCAGATTTCATGAGTGCCAACATGGTATAGACAAAATCATCTGCTTGCCTAACTTTGTTTGCAGATTGCTCGTGCTCATCGATAATCTTCTCAAAGAATTCATCAAATACTTTGCCAACAGCCTTCATTCTCCTGGTCAAGCCTTGAAGGTCAAGGACTCCAAGATAAGGATAATAATCTCCAAGATTAGGTGTTGCAGCTAATTGCATCGCTTCTTTCATGACAGCTTTGAAGCCCCTCTCATCGAATTCCTTGTCAGCATACTTTTTCCCAAACACCATCAGGCAACTCATGTTCGCGTTTAGTGCAGCAACTTCAGCACTAATATCAACAACATCATGATTAAGAGCCACCCCTTTAAGTGATTCCAAAAACAATCCAAGCTCTTCCCTCCTCATAGACTGAAATGAACTGATTTTGGGGCTATTAAGCAAATTTAAGGTGCATAATTTACGCATGTTGCGCCAATATGGACCATACTGCCCAAAGGACAGATTTCTTTGCCCAAAACCGATATATTTAGCAGCCTCATGAGGTGGCCTAGTAGCAAAAACAAGATCATGTGTCTTGAGGAATTGCTCAGCTGCATGGGGGGATGAAACAATGATGTTTGACACAAATCCGAATCGTAAGTGCATGATAGGACCATGTTGCTTAGAGAGCTTATGCAAATCCTGGTGAGGATTTATTCCCAACAGATGGAGATGTCCTAGAATAGGAAGCCCTCTTGGACTAGGAGGCAATTTCTGCTTGCTCTTTCTCAACAATGAATTGAGGAGAAGAACAATTGTAAGTATTATGAAAGCTGTCCAAATCAAAGCTGGAGACATTATGATTTGGATGGTAATTATTGCTTTCTCAATTGATCTGAGTGTTCAAGGTACGTTTCAGCTTGAATATATACAAATGCTTGGAGGGATTGATAACAAGTACAAAAAATTTTATGCTAAGCTTAGTGGAAATCGATTGGTGAATGATGCCGAAATGGGGATATGGACAGATTGGAGGCTGGGAACGTTACAATTAGTAGCATTACAATGTCTTGCTAACAATGCTCTATATCTCAATCACAAATCTCACAAGCTTTCTTTCTTGGATCATTATTCCCAATTCATTTCCGGTTAATTATTTTTGGTAGTGTAACAATTTTTTTGATGTTTTGGAGTGTTTATGTTAACATGAATATAACTGTTTGGAAGACAACTAGGACCTAATAACATCACGTACAAATTAAGATGCGGAAATTGATTATACAGAAGAATCAAGTTAGTCGGGTTCAAAACCAAAGAAACTTTATTAAGACTAGTGGTTATGGCACACCCAATGTGTGTCCTACTAATAAAAAGATATTAAAAATGATTGGTATTATTTTTTTATTGGAAATACTAGTACTCGCTTCGTTTGGATAGAGCATTATTCCAAATAATTATTTGAAATAATTACTGTAGCACTTTTTGCGATATGATGTATGTGAGATAAAAAGGTGATTGGAAATATAAAAAGGTAAATTGAGAAATGTGTTTATAATGCAAGCGAAAATTTTTTTTGAAAAAATTTGCTATCCAAACATAGCACTAGTTCACTGTTGTATCAATTTTGGCGGCACGAAAAGGACGAGAATGAGCCCCAGTTGCAAATCCAGGCAACTTCTTCTGCTAGAACCAAATGGTGTTAAGGTTTTAAATCTTGTCCACGAAGGTCTATATGGCTCTCCCTGCATCATTCAGGGATGGAGTTCGGTCTATATTGCTCTCGGGATCTTGCCAGACATTTGGATCATGGCCGATTTTTCTTCCAATTCTCTCTAAAGTTTCCGTAGTAATGTCACTGGCTATAAAAGTTGCCAGAAAACGGACTGGCAAACAGAAAAAGTTGTGAATCATGTCCAGACTATTTAGGAAAGCTGCTTCTTTAGAAAGAGATGGAAATAAGTATACAAAAATGATGAACTGACAATTTTTGTTTTAAGAATGGATAGACAGCAAGTAGCAATATGTCAAACAAGATGCTAGAGTGCAGACAAATCATCAATGGAAGTACGACTTCAGTATATGGTAATACATCTCTGTCAACGTTTCCAGAAGCAAAAAGTAAACTTGATAATCCTGATTCATTTAGCTAATCGGTAGGTAGGAATAACCCTTAGATGCGTAGCTCTGGAAGTTACAAAACCAAAAACCTCAGACATATCCAAGTCACTTGGCTTAATGTTATCTGCAAGTTCCCAATTGAAACAATGCACCAATTGTGCCAGCAGAAAACGAACAACAGTGAGCCCCAACTGCATACCTGGGCAACTTCTTCTGCCTGAACCAAATGGTATTAGTCGGAAATCTTGTCCTCGAAGGTCGATGTTACTATCCCTGAATCTTTCAGGGACGAAGATCTCAGGATCAGGCCAGACACTTGGATCGCGGCCGATTGCATACACGTTTATGATGATTCGCGTATTTTTCTGAATGTGGAAGTCATCAATCTTGCAATCTTCCATTGACTCGTGGGGAAGCATTAGTGGTCCCACAGGATGAAGCCTCATGGATTCTTTTACAACCATGTCCAAATACTCTAGGCCTTCAAGATCTGATTCCTCCACAATCCTCTCGAATCCGACTTTTTCTTGCAATTCTTTCTGGAGTTTCTGCATAGCCTCAGGATGCCTGAGGAGTTCTGACATGGCCCATTCAACTGCTGTCGCAGAACTGTCCATTGAGGCGAGAAGCATATCCTGTATTGTCGAGTTAGATACATGAAAGAGTAAGAATTGTGCCAAATTTGGCTTCATTTATCACAAGCACTGATTTATTTGATATAGCATTTGGAACAATCCCTTTCTCAACTGTACTGGAAGAAAAAGAAAGAGAATGAATAGAATTGGATCTTAGTAAATGCCCTCAATTTGCTTTGCATTGCATTAGAAAAACACTACAATAGTCATTTCTTCAGACTTACCAACAAAATAGCAAATAAGAATATAAAGCTACCAAACTTACCAACAAGATAGCTTTGACATGACGGCGATCAAAATCGAATTCAGATGTTCCGGATTGAATAATTCCCATCATGATGTCTACGAAGTCCTTGGTTTGCTTGTGCTCCTTGGATTCAAGATGCTCATCAATGATTTTATCAAAAAAGTTATCAAACACCTTAGCCAGAGCCTTGAATCGACGAGTAAGTCCCTGAAGATCAAGCACACCAAGCAGGGGAAAATAATCACCGAGGTTAGGCAGCGCTGCAACACGCAATGATTCTTGAATGACCTCTCTAAACCCCCGATCATCAAAATCCTTGTCCATATACTTCTTTCCAAATATCATCAAGCAACTCATATTTGCACCTAAGGATGAAATCGCTGCACTAAGATCCACAGAAGCACCGTCTGAAGCAGCCAGTTTTAGTGATTTGACCAATTTTCCCACCTCTTCTCCTCTCATTGGCAGAAATGAATTGATCTTGTGGCTACTGAGCAGCTGTAAAACGCAAAGCTTACGCATGTTTCGCCAATAAGGACCATATTGGCCGAAAGTCAAGTTTCTCTGCTCATACGCGATGTACCAAGATGCTTCATGATAAGGTCTACTGGCAAAAACTTGATCGTTAGTCTTGAGAAACTTTTCAGCTGCTTCAGGAGATGAGACAATGATCGCTGGGACATAACCAAAACGCATGTACATTATAGGGCCATGTTTTCTGGCCAATTTCTCCAAATCTTGGTGAGGATTCTTGCCTAACAGATGCAGATTTCCTATAACCGGAAGCCCTTTTGGACCTGGAGGCAATCCTTTTCTCTTCTTCGTCAAAAACAAATCTTGAAGGAAGTAGCAAACTGCAGCCAAGACCATAGCCAATGAACACTCATCATCTTTTTCAGCTAGATAAATAATTTTACTACCTTTTTCTGATCTAAAGTATAGGCCTCAGATCAGTGATTATGTAAATAGTACTACACAGTAAGGCAATACTTCATCAACCCAAGCAATCATGAAGTAGAAGTCAAAATCGTTGAATGTGAATTAAAATAGCCGTATAACGAGTACTCTCCCTAATTAAAGTAAAGGATATCAATCGCCCTACAGGATACAGCTGAATTTTCTTGGCTTTTGCGGATTTTTTTATATGCTGTGATGTCAGAAGGGCCACATGCTTGGACAATACTAAATGGTCAAGAAGGTATCCCACCTACCCAGGTGTGCTTTGCCATTTTTCAGATAAATTTACCCTTTTAGACTATTTATAAAAATATTTTGCTGACCAATGAAGTAATATGATCTAAAGAAAATGACATAGAACATTTTTGTCGACATCCAGCCGACGAAAAATGAAACAAAAAGGGGATAAATTTTGGATATTGGTAATCATTTTAGTATCATTTATAATCATATTCTGCTAAAGACACAACCATATGGCTAATCAAGCCCCTGTTGAAAGTGCTGAACAGTGAATACACATCATCCCAGAAGCCAATAATTGATTCCGCATAAGTTGTAGGATCGATTATAAATCTGAATATAATTAAGTGATTAGTAGGGGAGCAACTGAGACAGGTAGCTACCCCGTTCATGGAGGAAAATCCACAAGTGTTCGCATTGAAGTATAGATCATAGGTAGGCTTGCTCACTATATCGCCGAAATGCAAACAAACATCAAGAATATGAAGATCAATTGCCGGGTTCCAACTCAGGTTAGAATTTGGGGCGGCAGCAAATTTGGTAGAAGTTCAAGAAAGAAAAGGAAAAAAATGGTTTTAAAAAAAAAAAAGAATGGGTTTAAGTGGGGAATCAGAGGTGGGACTTCGGAAAAAATATGTAGAAGTTATGGTGGTCACCGGGGCAATGAAGAGGCAGGAGTTGGCGATGATCGAGGACACGGTGGTCATGGTGATGCACAAACCACTCTGTCTTCAATTCTATCCATTTTCACTGTACATGAAAGTTGAAACTATGAGCGTATTATACAGATGGTTATTTCAAAACTATAAAGAAGTCATGCAATAATACAAAGATAAAACATCTTCTCGTAAGATTGATTATATCTTTCAAGATCAGTTAAAATTATAATATTTACTTAGCTCCATGTTCTTTTGCATCCCATCTGCTGGTTGGTCAAAGAGCGAACCTGGACAACTGGTCTGGGTAGTGTGGGGAACAAGAGGAGGGGAGAAGGGTATAAAACAATAATAAAATATTGTTTTGCATTTTATCCCCCAGTGGTATTATACAAAGTGGTTCTCCATTATATTTAGCAGTAATTAACTATGAGTAGTACTAGTATTTCAATTAACGAAGAAGGTTGTTTTCTATCGAACTTTCTCACATAAAATTATTGAGATTTATTCCGATATTCTAAAACATTAGGGGGTCATGTATTAGACGAAACCATAAAGGAGTACATAATAATTTACTAGCAATTAAGTTCTCACGTTCTTTTCTTCATTTGTCTTACAGTTTTGGTCTCAAGACCAGATTTTTAATGATTTGCCGATTGTTTGGATTGCAATTTTTGCAAAATAACAATAATAATAATAATAATAAGTTTTGGTGAGAATATTTTTTTCATATTTTTTAATTTTTTTTTTACTTTACATGTATCACATTCTACAAAATGTGATATAGTAATTTTTCTTCAAAAACTCTCCAAAAAAATGCAATCCAAACAGACTTGTATACTTCTGCTGCGCCCAGTTTTATGTTCTGTAGTTGGATTTCTTCTGAAATTTGTAGTATAATGTAATCCATTGTCCGCCCTTTAAAGTGATTTGACATATAGCTTCATAAGATGTTTGTCACTCTCTAGTCTCTACTACTTTTGCGCTTTCGCTTTGCCAATTTACGGTTTAATGTCTTGCCTTCAAATTTTGTTTTCTTAATTTGTTTCGCCTATCAAAATTTACGGTTTAATGTTTTGCCAATCGCTTTGCCTTTTTTTTTTTCATCTTTTCCTTTTTGACCTTTTTTTGTGTTCCTTTTTTGATTCTTTCTTTTAACTACTCTCAAATCTCTTCACATATCTTACCATAAATCTCGCTTACAAAGGGATAAAAAATAATACACACACACACATATATATAATTCACCTAGAAACATTTTATCAATTTTATGATTTGACCCCTAGAGTACTTGAAAACTATTAATACACCTAGAACCATTTTAGAACTTATAGCTATAGCCCTAAATTTTTGTATTACTTTCCAAATAAGCTCTCCAATTTGGTTCTAAACTTGTTGAATATGCATTAAATTATTGTACAAATTCCTACTTAATTATACTATCTTATTTGTATTTTCTTGTAAAGCATCTTAGAAACGTCAAACATACATTGAACCTGTCTTTCTTAGTATTAATATATTTTTAGAAATTTTACATAATATATTAAATTTTAAAATTAAATATATTGATGACATCATGATGATGTCATTCGATTCTTGGATGTGTTCGACCGTCCCCGACCCATGACCTCGACCAAATCGATGGCCGATATGAGTTTCAAAACATTGCAATCATGCGTATCCAAATCATCCTCGAAAATACACCTTCAATTATGCTAAGGTTGAAACTCAAGAATTAGAGATCTTGAGTTCTAATTTTCCTACCTCTTTCCTGCTTTTTAAATCTCACATTTCCCTTGTTAGAAAAACTATTAAAAGAAGAACGTTATGCTAATACATTATAGGTCCTTGTCAACATTTTTCAGAATTGAGAACTGGAATTCACAATCTTTATTCATTAGCATAATCGGTAAGTTGGTACCACTTTAGATGCTTTGCTCTTGAAGTAGCAATTCCAAAAATCTCAGACATATCCAAATCACTTGGTTGAATGTTATCTGCAAGTTCCCAATTTGAACAATGCACCAATTGTGCTAACACAAAACGAACTGGAGTCATCCCCAACTGGATAACTCATTATAGGTAAAGAGTTGAGGTAGAGCTTTACATGAATTCTGGGTGGCAAATATCATTGGTAGGTTTCCTTGTGCTTCTTGGATTCAAGATGCTAATTAATTATTTTCTTTGGAAAATTATCGAACACCTTAGACAGCTCTTTCAACCAACGTGCAAATCTCTGAAGATCAAGCACACGAAGCTGGGGAAAGTAATCACAGAGGTTAGCCATTGCTGCAACATGCAATGCTTCTTCAATGACCTCTCTAAACCCCTATCATTAAAATCCTTATCCATACACATTTTTCCAAATATCATCAAGCAATTCATGTTTGCACCTAAGGACGAAATGGCTGCACTATGATTGACAGCAGCACCGTGAAAAGCAGCCTGTTTTAATGATTTCACTAAAATCCCAATCTCTCCTATTCTCATTGGGAGAAACAATTTGATCTTGTAGTTACTTAACAACCTTAAAATGCAAAGCTTACGCATGTTTCGCCAAAATGTACCATATTGGCCAAAAGTCGAGTTTCTCAGCTCATGAGCAATGTACCAAGAACCTTCATGATGAGGCCTACTGGCAAAAACTTGATCATAAGTCTTGAGGAACTTCTCAGCTGCCTCAGGGGATGAGAAAATGATTGCTGGGACATAACCAAATCGCATGCACGTTATAGGACCATGTTTTCTGTCCAATTTTGCCAGATCTTGGTCCGGATTCTTGCCTAACATGTGCGGATGTCCTCTCTTCTTCATCAACAACAAATCTTGAAGCAAATAGCAAATTGCAGCCTAAGGCTAGAGTTTTCCATAGCCAATGAATGCTCATCATCCTTTTCTTTTTTTTTTTTTCCAACAAACGATACCAATTTTATATATATTAACACTTGAAATTACAAGAGTTAATTACAAAACGGGGTAACTACCCCCATATCTTTTCTAGCTAGTTCTGATAACCAAGATGGGAATGATCCCTCCCATTCAATTATCCTAACTGACTTAACTGCAAATTGAGCCAAAGCATGGCTACAAGTATTAGCAGTCCTGGGAATAAACAAAAACACACAACAGTCAAAGTTCTTCTTCAAGTCTTCAATGTCATCCAGGATCGTTTGCAGCTTACAATCTGTCTATTGCTTGAGTTGATTAGGCTTACCACACATTTGCAATCAGATTGGACCTCTATTGTAGTCCATCCTGCATTTGTGGCCATTTCCAACGCACTCCTTATTGCCATTGCTTCCTCGATTGCTGGTGCTCCTCTCCTCCGTGTCACGATGCCTTTAGCTTTCACTATCTTTCCACGCCAATTCCGCGCAATGATCCCCAGGCCTGTCCGGACCATCTTAGCTGAGAGTGCTCATCATCCTTTTCAGTGAGCTAAATTTGGTTTACTAGTTACTACTTTTTCTGAGATAAACGTAAGCCCAGAGCAGATATTTATGAAGTAATTTTTTATAACTCCTATGCATGTAACAATGCAATACGTTATCGCTCTACGCATTTGTGTATCACGACATCAATACGGCTAACTTCGTTAGGCATCAAGGACAAGAATCATCGCGAGACCAAGAATTTGTCCCACTAAGTTTAAAATGTCATTAGATGGAAACCACTCTCACAAGTTGAGTTTTGTTCAACTGGTTGATACAATTCTTACAACTTTTGGTGTAAATTTATATGATTTTGATATAGTAAGAATTATACAAATAGGATTTGAATTAGACAGAATTTAATTTGTGAACCCGAATGGGTCATTAGACAGTCAGTCATACCTATCAAAAACGTTAGAAGTGCTTAGCTAAATTTCTCTTGATCTTATCCTAGTTAATATGTGGGAACATTGTTGATTAAAAATCAAACAAATGAATACCTTTCCATAATGTCACTCGATACATAATCCAATTAACAAGGAAAAAAATCTACTTAACTACAAAAGTAAAAAATTAAAAAAAAATTCCACTAAACAATGTATTCATTATATATAAAAGTAGCAAGGAAAATGAAACAATTGACAAATGCAACATCAAGTTCGGAAACTTCTGTACTATGTCTAATGCTTAAGGAAGAAGCTGCTTCTTCAGATCGAGATGGAAACAAGTAGATAAAAAAGAAAACTAATTGGCAAATATTTTTATCATCAACGAATGGAAAGAGCAACAAGCAGTACGCGCAAGAAGACACTATAGTCAACACAATCTTCAAGGAACATTACTTTTACACTTCCAGAATTGGAATTGGAGTCCACAATCTTTATTCATTTGGCCAATCGGTAGGTAGGAATAACCCTTAAATGCGTAGCTCTGGAAGTTACAATACCAAAAGCCTCAGACATATCCAAATCAGTTGGCCGAATGTTATCTGCAAGTTCCCAATTGAAACAATGCACCAACTGTGCTAGCACAAAACGCACAACGGTGAGCCCCAACTGCAAACCTGGGCAAATTCTTCTGCCTGAGCCAAATGGTATAAGTCGGAAATCTTGTCCACGAAGGTCTATATTGCTATCCTTGTATCTTTCAGGAATGAAGGCCTCAGGATCAGACCAGAAATTTGGATCGCGTCCAATTGCGTATATGTTTATGATGATCCGCGACTTCTTCTGAATGTGGAAGTCATCAACTGTGCAATCTTCCATTGACTCGTGCGGGAGCAACAGTGGGGCCACAGGATGAAGCCTCATGGATTCTTTGACAACCATGTCCAAATACTCCAGGCCCTCAAGATCTGATTCCTCAACAATCCTGTCCAATCCGACTTTTTCTTCCAATTCTTTCTGGAGTTTCCTCATTGCCTCAGGATGCCTGAGGAGTTCTGAGATCGCCCATTCAACTGCCGTGACTGAGGTGTCCATTGAGGCCACAAGCAAATCCTGTGTAGTTGAGGTAAGGAATTGGCAGAGTTAGGCATAATGTCAAGATCAAAATAGGCGTCAAATTTGTCTTCATTTGTTGCAAGGATTGCAATTATTTGATTCAGCTATGAAACAATCCCTTTCTCAACAGACAAACAAAGGAGAACCTCAGAAAAGAACGCTGGTATTATTTTGAAGAAAGTAAGAGCACAGAATTCCAGATCAAGTTTTAAGGTGCAAAGTTTAGTTATTTGAATTTCGTTAGTCCAGAAGTTATAACTGACCGAAAATTTTGTTGAAAAAGCTAAAAACAAATTCAACAAGCAATACAAAAATCTGGCGCTGTCAGCTACGTATATGAACAATAAACCAGCAAACCAGAAAGGTCTAAAACATACCAACAAGATGGCTTTGACATGGCGACGGTCGAACTCAAACTCAGCTTCTCCATATTGCATAATTCCCATCATGATGTCTACAAAGTCCTTGGTTTGCTTGTGCTCCTGAGACTGTAGATGCTCTTCAATGATTTTCTCAAAAAATTTATCAAACACCTTGGCGAGATCTTTAAACCGGCGAGTAAGTCCCTGAAGGTCAAGCACACCGAGTAGAGGAAAGTAGTCACCGAGGTTTGGCATGGCCGCAACATGAAGTCCTTCTTGAATAACATCTCTAAACCCCCTATCATCAAAATCCTTGTCCATATATTTCTTCCCAAATATCATCAAGCAACTCATATTTGCACCCAAGGAAGAAATTGCTGCACTAAGGTCAACAGCAGCACCATCTGAGGCAGCCTGTTTGAGTGATTTAACCAATGTTCCAACCTCTTCTCTTCTCATCGGCAGAAATGAATTGATTTTGTGGCTACTGAGCAGCTGCAGAATGCAAAGCTTACGCATGTTTCGCCAATACGGTCCATATTGGCCGAACGTCAAGTTCCTCTGCTCATAACTAACGTACCAAGAAGATTCATGATAAGGCCTACTAGCAAAAACTTGATCGTAAGTCTTGAGAAACTTTTCAGCTGCTTCAGGGGATGAGACAATGATTGCTGGGACATAACCGAATCGCATGTGCATTAAAGGGCCATGCTTTTTGGCTAGTTTTGCCAAATCTTGGTGAGGATTCTTGCCTAACAGATGCAGATTTCCTATAATAGGAAGCCCTTTTGGACCTGGAGGAAATCTCTTTCTCTTCTTCATCAAGAACAAGTCTTGAAGAAAAAACCAGATTGCAGCCAAGGCTAGAGCTGTCCATAGCCAATGAATGCTCATCATCTTTCTCAGTTTGCTTAATGGTATTCTAGTGCTTCTTTTTCTGATCTAAGAATGGGCCTCAGAGCAGGTATTTATGTCTAGTAGTAGTATTGGATAGCTATGTGTAAAGCGTAATATTTTGACGGTTGTGAATGAAAAATTGTATTACGTACAGAGTTCACCTACAAGAAGCTGACTGGAAATTTCAACATTTCTAAGCAGATAGACACAAATATAGGAATCTCTAGAATCCAGGAGCTGAACTATCTTTTAATAAAAAGAAATTCTTGAAGTTTGATGCTGTACAATTTGAACCGCTACTTATTGTAGTAGAATTCACACTACTTCGATTCAATTCACAAATTTGTTAAGTAGGACTGTTGTCACTCAATTCCAGGACCAGGCCACTTATGTGATCTATTGTTGTGCCACATTCCACTGTGATCATACCTTGAAAAATGTCCATTAACTTGCCGTAAATTTTTTTTTTTCAATTTTTTCCAAATTTTTGTAGACTGTTGTCATAGAGGAAAAATGATAATTCTTGGGAGCTGGCCGTATAATGAGTATATGTGAATAAATTGCAGATAAGCTTGTAGATTTTTCAACTCTAGCCATCAGAACAGAAAGTGGTGACATTGTGGCTGATTGCAATCCGTCAATTGTCACAATTCTGACGTGTTACATAGTTTTTTTTTTTTATTGTCGATATGATAATTCCTATTCTATAAATAGGGAACGAATGAACGTAAAGTGATCAATGTAGAACCCTAAAGAGATTGATTCGCCACCGGATCAAACGAATGCATTTGAATATGAAACTTTCAAAAAATCGTAAGAAAAATGCAAGTCAGGAAATTTTATCTCTTGACCACGCTCAATGTAAGATTTAACTCCTTTCGTGGTGGCCAACTCAACTTGGCTGAGTTAGTTACATATTACATAGTTTGCCATTTCTCTCATTTTCTATGGATTACGTCATTACATATGTCTCTGCTGATTACAGAGATAAAGAAATCAACCGTGTTTTTTTTTTTACTTTTTGAGACAAGTAAAGCTGTAACAGTATTCTAATGGTGTTATGGTCAAGGCCACGAACTTGAACATTTGATTTCCTACCTGTAGGATCCGTGAAGCAATTGAAGATGTAAAAGTCAATCGCAAGCTAGTCTCCACAGTGATTTCAATTTGATTGAATTCATACTCAGTTTGCTTAGGAATGGAAGAAAAATAAATTGATCTAAAATAGACTATTATCCACTGTCAGATAATAGTATTTTATTTATAAAGTAATTAAAGCTACCGTTCCCGCCACATTAAGAATGAACTCCAATTTTGCACACCGGATGTGACACACCATATTTCATTTCGGAAAATGATTCTTTTTTTTTTTTTTTTGATTACTATGCATGACCGAAATTGTCGCCTTAATCTTTAACCAAATTAACAGTAGTCTCTCACATGACTCATCAAATAGACTCCAAAAATTCTGGATATGGTGGCTAAGTATATGTGGTAGGAGGATACGTGCTTTGCACATTCAACTAAGATGAAAACACCCCACCATTTAACTCTTAAGATATATAGGACTGAAAAGTTCCTTATGAGTTGGACGCCATCAAGGAGTAGGCGCTGGCTCAATATTAATCCATGAGTTGGACACCATCAAGGAAGCATTGGTGTTTGCTAAACTCAAAGGATGGAAACGTATTGAGGTTCGCACTGATTCAAAACTTGCTGCAGATATCTTAAATAGCAAAACTGACTGTCCTTGGAGGGCTCTAGTTGCATATTTTGATATAAAGGATTTAATCTCATACTTCAAGGAAGTGATTATATATTTTGTATATCGCCAATGTAATCAAGCTGCTGACTTTATGGCTAATTATCTCAATAGAGTGAATAAAGTTATTTTTGAGTCAAATTTCCCCCTTGATCTTTTCAAAATTGTAGAGGAAGATAAGAGGGAAAAGTTGACTGTTAAAGTGTAAATTCTTATTTTATTATATAAAGCTCGCCAATTCTTAAAAAAAAAAAAAAAAAAAAAAGTTCCTTGTGACGATTGCTGAATTACACGCTTGGGCTGGGTGGATATGTACAAGTGCAAGGAGAAGGTTTACATGTGCTGAAGAATAAACTTTTAATTGAACAAGCAGAGTTCATATAATTCACTGTAGGACCTATTCTTGTACTACTTGACTAATCAAGCAGCTCATAAAAATTCACCGAACC